GGCCCCAGGTTTGCCCGCTGTGGGCGCTGCGCGCCCCCCAGTCCCGCCCGGAACGCAGGATGCGGTGCCTCGGCGCCCAGAGCCCGGTGAGTGCCGCCCGGGGGAGGGGAGGGGAGGGGAGGGGAGGACCCGGGGCAGGGATTCGGGCCCCACCTGCGCGCACCTGCCCCTCTCAGCGCCGATAGAGCCCTGCCTGCATGCCGAGCCCTGTGACCCATGGCGGGCGCCTCGGACCCCACTCTGCTGGGTCGCTGGTGGGGGGGAGGCTGGCCTAGGGTGCGACCTCGGGCCACCCCCAGGTGCACCGCCAGGTGGGGACTTAGCGGCTGGGGGCCTCCCACCCACCCCGCGAGGAGCAGGTGTTTGCGAGCTCCCAGGACAAACACACACACAAAGGAAGTTCCTCGGCGCAGTCCTCCAGCAAGTTTGGGGCGCCCCAGGTGGGACCCACAGGTGACCGCGCCCTTTCCTCCGCGCTCCCCTCTTTTCCTGGCAGGTTTCCGCAGAGAGAACCCCCCAGCGAAGAGAGTGGCGGCCTCAGATTTACAGGAAATGCACCGACACGGGCTGGCTGCTCCTGTTCTTCCTCTTCTGGGCGGGTTTGGTGAGCGTGGCCGCCTGGCGGGGAGGAGACCGGTGTGTGGGTCCCCACAGAGCTGTGCTCACCTGTAAATCGCATGGCTAGGCCTTTCCTGGGGGAGCCTAGGTGTGTGTGTGGGGGTCGGTCCAGGTGAAAGCTGGTGCCACCATGGGAGGCACCTGCCTGGGGCAGGATGAGCACGATCCCGGAACGCTGGTCAGGTGCGTCGCTCACCTGGAGAGCTGCCTGGTCCTGCAGGGCGTCCGAACAGAAGGCTTCATTAGGGGCCGAGGCCGTGGGGTAGGAGCGGGAAGATGGGATCGTTTCTTAGCCCGTGTGCCGTCTCTCTTCCGCGTGCGGTCTCTCTTCCACACTCACTCCGTGGGGGTGCTCATACCACCTCAGCCCCCAGGTTAAAATGTCCCTCAGGCGTTTGCTGTTCCTTTAACACAGGTCAGTCCAAGGTGAGCCTGGAAATAGATGACTCTTAGCGGAGGGAAGCAGGCCTGTGCCACGAACCCGCTAGTGTGGTAGCTGATCACTGCCCCCCACCCCCACCCCCAGTTTCTTTCTGGTTTCCAGGTATGTGGTTGCTGGCAGACCTCCCCAGGCTGTGCTGCTTGGTCCTGGGCGCGTCCCGTGGGAGCGGGATCTTGCGGCTCTGCGCTGCCTTAGCGTTGTGGGAGCAGCAGGGAGAGCTCCCTCACCCTCACAGGCCGCCGGTGAAACCACCGTCCGCGGCGATGGAGGCTGCAGTTGCTGCCTGGCGGGTGATTAACCCACAAAGCCCGCTGTTGGCACCAGCGAGGAGCGCCTGTGCTGAGAAGCGATAAAGTGGAATAGATTCTAAGATGCCATGTTTCTCTTCCCCATTCCTCTCTCCTTAGAAAAGCATTGGTTGTTGACTTTCCCAACTGGTTCCCCATAGACAGACAGCCCGGGCCGTAAAGGTGTGACCGGACGTCTGTGTTGCCCGTATCGCGGCCCTGGGGCTGCCCACAGGTGGCTGGTGTTTCTGCCGGGCCCGCTGTTGCAGGAATGCCGGAGCCTCTGTCCGGCCGGCACCCGGCAGCTTGGACCTGGGGCTCCTGTGTTATTTAACGGTCTTCCCCAGCCCCCTGCGCGGTTCAAACCTAGACGGCACCGCCGCGCTCCCGGCCCGGCGGCTGCTGGGTCAGCCCAGCCTGCACAGTGACGGGCCAGCGGAGAGGGGCCCCGGAGCAGGCCATTTGCCAAGTAAACCGGAGGCTTCCTGTGCCCGTGCCCCTCCTCCGTCAGATCCGAGCCATGAGAGCCCTTCCCGAGCGGACTGGCTTTTAGTAGCTGCTGCCACATTGTTAAACCACAGACGGAAAACAGCACGGGGCCTGTTCTTCCTGCCTCTGCGGGGCGGGCATCTGTCTGCCCCCGGCTCGGTCCCTGGCCCACGCTGGGCCCTGCAGGCTGTTGTTTTGGTTTCTAAGTGAACGAGTGCGGTGCGGACCCCCTGCAGCATTTGGCTGGGACAGTGCGCCTGGGAAACGCATGGTGTCACAGGGTCCGTCCCCGGAGGCGCACTGCGTCCCGCCGCCGGACCGATGCTGGCGTCCGAGTCCCGGGTGGTGCTCTGCGCAGCGTGCGCGGCTGGGAAACTCACGCCCCGTGTTTGTGTTTGCGGAAGATCTGACTCCGTCTGCCAGGCCCGTCAGTGCTTGTCACTGGGACTGAACTTTTGAGGTGGAATTTCAAATATTCCACATTCACTATGAAATTGGATAAAAGTGACTCTCAACTGCAAGATGTTCTTGTCCCGCAGAATTGTTGGTGTATATCAGCTGTGTCGCCTCAACCCTTGAGGGTCAGTTTTTGTAAGACAAGAACAGAAAGGGGGAGAGAAGGAGAGGAGGAGGAAGGGAGGGTAGGAAGGAAGGAAACCTGGGAAAGGTAGGAAGGGAGGAGAGAAGAAGGGGTGGACGGGTGGACGGACAGACATCTGAAAACTCGGGGGAAGAAGTGGCAGAGCCCTGGCCCTTGGATAAAAGCCGAGTGACCTGGTGAGCGTGTGAGGGGAGCACCTTGATGCCCCCCAGTTTGTTTGGTTTCATTCCTGTCAACATTGGCGGGGGAGCGCCCCGGAGCCCCTGGCCAGTCTCTCACGTGCCACCTGGGCTTTCCCAGATGTTCATCACGGGCTCCGCGGTGGTGGCCGGAGCCACGGGAAGGCTCCTCTTCGGCCACGACAGCTTCGGCAACGTGTGCGGCAGGAAGAACTCCCCCGTGGAAGGGGCCCCTCTTTCCGGGCAGGACATGACCCTAAAAAAGTAAGTGTCCACGTGAGCCTCCAACCTGCAGGGGGCTCCATGTCACACTTTGCGTCCATTGGTCATTCTGAGCCTGGGACCGTTTTCCCGTTAAAACTCTGAGGCCACAGCTTCAGAATCAACAGCCCTCGGATCAGACTCGGCGCTGCTGCCTGTCGGCTGTGCGCCCTCGGGCAGAGCCCGTCACCTCTCTGAGCTGAGTTTCCGTCCTGTGAGGCCTGGTTCATTATCCCCCGGCCAGGCTGTTGCCAGGATCCCGAGACACTGCCCGAGCTACGGCTCACTGAACGTTAGTTGTTGCCATCCTCCGCCTCCTCATGTGTCAGTCCAGTGGCATGTGAGCAAGGGCACACCATCCCCAGTGCTGCTTCCATGGAGAAATAGCCGCGTCCCGACTGGGAGTGCCGGGGACTGTCCCTCCCCCGCCCCTGTCTGCACTCTCATCCGTGGCCCGTGGCCTCAGGTTCACAGCCTCCCCTCCTGCGGCTCTGGGTCCAGCTACTCTCTGAAGTAGAGGGACTCGGGGCAGAGGTGCTTCCTGCGGGTTTCCTAGAGCAGACTGTGCGCTGCCCGCCGCCAGGCAGCCCCCTCCCACCTCAGGCAGCTCCTGCTGTTGTCCCCCAGAAAACGCGGAGCTGGACAGGGACGTTAGTTCAAATGTTTCGTGTACATTTGTGCATGCTACTAGCAAAGTCCGTAGCTTTATTATTATTTATTTTTAAAGTATGTCTTTATTGATTTTAGAGAGAGAGGAAAGGACAGGGAGAGAGAGAAACATCAATGATGGGAGAGAGACATCGATTGCTGCCTCCTGCACACCCCTACCTGGGATCGAGCCCACCACCCGGGCATGTGCCCTGACCGGGAATCTAACCGGTGACCAGGCTCATGGGTTGCAGCTCAACCACTGAGCCCCGCCCGCTAGTTAACAGTTGAGTGTGGCTCCCGCTGCCATGGTTGGGGTGGGGAATGGGGGGCATGGTGCGCACTGACTTCTGCGGAGGCATTCCTCGTGAGGCTTTGCTCCTTACGCCCGCATCTGGTAGCTTGTGGCTATTTTTTAAGGCCCCCGCTGAGCCCCAGGAGAAGACCTGCTCTGAGGAGGTCCCCTCCTTTCTCCTGTCTCCCAGACACGTGTTCTTCATGGATTCCTGCCACCTGGACGTCAGGGATGGCCGGCTCACCTCCACCGCCCTCTGCGTCGCCAGCTGCCCCGAGGAGCAGCTCCACACCCTGGAAGAAGTGCAGCTCTTCGCCAACAACACTGGTGGGCGCCGAGGGGCCCCGAGGGCGGGCCCTGCCCCAGGGGGAGCCGCGGTGGGGTCACCTGTGCACACCTGCCGAGACAACCTGCCCTGAGGGCCCCCCTTGACCTCAGGGGGCACCTGTGCTCTGTCTCTAGGTCCCCCACAGGCCCCTTTCTAGATCCCAGGGATTCATCCCGTCTGCACAGTTTTGTACAAGGATGGGTTGCTGTGCTGGCCCCCCAGGGACAGGGACAGGGACAGGTCCTACAGTCTGCTATCTCCCGCTCCCAGGGTCCTTCCTGTGTGTGTACAGCTTGAGTCCCGCCAACTACACCCAGAATCCCGGTGCAGCCTCACTGTGCCCCAGGCTCCCAGTGCCTCCCAGGTAAAAGCCCATACATCCCCTGTCTGTCAACAAAGGTGATTGGGTGCCTGGCCCTGTCTATCACTCTTCTAGGCATTGTGGGAGGGGCAAAGGAGTGAGCGGTGGAGCTGTCTGCAGGGAGCAGGTCGGCCAGAGGCCAGGGACCAACCAGGTGCGGCTGTTTGCAGCGTTTGTAAGGACAGCGGGGTGGGAACCAGGCCGAGCAGGAGGAAACAGCAATAAAGGTGCGTGTGGTCCTCACAGGGCAGCCTGGAGCCAGCAAGAGCGATGCATGCACGTGTTAACATATGAAACATTCAGACCTGGAAAGAATTTTTGTGAGTTTGAGCCGAATTGTTGACAATGGCCAGGAAGCAGGACCTCAATGGATTGGGATAGTGCCCCTGAGAGTGGCGGGTTTCACCTTGTTTTAAACATTACAGTCCAAGGAGGGGACGCAAGTGGGCACTTAAATCCATTGGTGATGGATTAGGGAGGCGGGAGAAGGCAAAGCGGGGGGGGACCCTGGGATTGGATAAAAGTGAAATGATGGACGCATGCTGCCTTCACACAGGTGGGTGCAGGGTAGTTAACAGTCAGCAATTAACAGGATAACAGTAACAATGAGGGAATCTGTGGTCTCCTCCCAGGTGTACTAGTTGTGCCCTGAGGGGTCCGGGAAAAGGGAAGTTACCAGTTACCCTGACTTTCCCAGGTGTGTTATCTTAGATGCAAAAGGACAACAGGCTCAGGAAAGACGGAAGTTGGTCTTTGTCAGGGAGGACACCGGCCTAGGACATGACTACCCACCATAGACTGCTTTCTTATTTAAAGAGTTTTAATTTCAAATGGAACTCCCATGGGACCCAGTGATCCCACTTCTAGGAATATATCCTAAGAAACCAGAAAGAATGTACACACCCCCATGTTCATAGCAGCACAGTTTACAGTAGCTGAGATCTGGAAAAGTCCAAGTCCATCGCCAGGTGAGAGGGTAAAGCTGTGGTCCATCTACACCACGGAACCCTGCGCAGCCGTGAAAGAACGCTGACCCTCTGCAGCAGCGTGGCTGCGCCTGGAGAGCACCAACTGTCACAAAGTAGAATCCACTGACTTTGGCCTTTTTATTGCAACCAGGCATTCCTGGGTTTTTTTAGAATTTGCATGTTCATTCACACTGTGACATTCTGCACCGTCACACAG